TAACCAAGGATCACATCACTTTTGCATTTCCTTGAGTTAGAAAAGGACCTATCTCCTTACTTCCTTCAACACCCAGAAAATCAACATTAATTTAATAACAACAATGTTCTACCAAAGCACTCTATGCACCTAATATTGTTATCTACACTGCATCCATAAGTTACAAAACTCAAGACTACATCAGAAGCTTTGTGATCCAATTTGATATAATGAAATACAGAAAAAAAAACATACTTGAAATTTGTACCCTTACAAAACTACAATAAAATTTTTTTTGGTGAGATTTTATAGTTACATTTTTACTCCTTCATATGTACACATATTCCACTCACACTCCACCAAACCATACCTTATTCCTTTCCTTCTCCCATCCTTTCCTCCAGACTCCCAACCACCTCCCACCCCATTCCCTCTGGTAACCAAAAAATTTCTCATTAAGTCCAAGATTTGTTTCGTTAGAATATATCTTTTGTTATTTATATTTCACAGATGAGTGAGATCTGTCCCCCTCTCCCTCCACCCCTCAAGGTGATTTAGCTGATCTGGCTAGTAGGCTGGTATCCCCTTCTTCCCTTGCCCTTCCACATGAGCACCTCCAGAACCTGTGTCAAGAGGACAGCCTTCCCCAAATAGACAGGGACCATTCTTGGTTCAAGGGTGTTGGGTCCTTTGCCTGGACAGACCTTCCCACCTCTCCCACAGAATAATATGCACACTGTTGTGTGGAAACAAAGAATGAGCCAAGGGTGCTAGAACAGAAAAACAGGAGGCACGAAGTGTTCTTGCCTTGTGTTTGCTACCTTGTGTTTATGTGACTGTTCTTTGACTCCCATGTTATTGTGGCATGTTAGCATGTTATTGACATACTTGCTGAGAGCTTCCGCCTACCCCCAGCCCCAGGTTCCATGCTGAAGGGTATAAATAGGGAAGGAGAGAAGAATAAAGTGTGCCTTTGCTTGCTGACCATGAAGTGTGTGTTTTAATCCTGACGTCCTTCGCTCAGACCATCTCTGCTGTCGTGCTGGCGCGGCAAATGGTATATAAATAGTGGTGCTCCCTCACTAGAACCTACAAATGGGGCCTCCCTGGTAGTGCAAGGGGGTAAGTCTCAACACTATGAAGCAATTTGCAGCCGCTGCAGCATGAGTTTGATCCCTGGCCAGGGAGCTGATCCACATGGTACAACAGACCTCACCTATCTTATCTACTGCTGCCCTCAGCTGTGTATTTCAGTGGACCACCTTTTCTGATCCCCATTCTGACTCGGGTGAATCTTTTCAATCTCTTGCAAATCTGCCTATACCCCAGCTCTCATATGCATAATTTTTTTTTTTGAAAAAAAGAACTTTCAAACAAGTTCTCAAAATTACAATAAATTTTTAAAGGATCAAAATTCAGCTTGGAGCCAATGTTTTAATTCAATTATGGCATCTCTTAAGTAAATGAAAAACCATTATAAAATATACCTTTAAGTAACATTATTTACTATTATATACAACATTTTTAAAAACAGAAAAAGTCTTGTATTTCCTATGAAGAATCACCAAATAATTTTCGGAAAGGCCTCTGTCTTAGTAGCTAAGATAAAGCTATAATGCAAAGGAAGTACAGTTAATTACTACCGAGATCTTAATATTCAAGGCAATACAAAGGGTCAAATGTCTAATATTCTTTAGGGATGGTTGCATTCGAAATGTGATGAACTCTAAATTACTTTGACTTGTGAAAGAAATGTGTGTTTGTCTGGTTGTTTTTAATTACTGATGCTTACAAAAGTCTACTAAAACCTTAAGGTTGCTGAACAAAAATGTGGATCTTCAGACAAGGTGACCATAGAATAGGTATTGTTCTCTTCGTTCAAGTCAATTTGGTAAAATTTTAAAATAAACAAAGCTTAATTTTAGCACCCGTTCTTATCACTTTTTACATCCACATCCCCTCTGACCTCTATCTTAACTCAAACCCTAATTAGGAATCCAAGGGCAATTAGATTGGAGAAGAAAATCAGGAATACATTACATAGAGGATATATTCTTATTAGTCTAGTTTTTTATATAAATGTTGAACTAATTCTTAGTTCTTCCAAAATATGGTGTCAATTAACCAGAATATGTACTACATCTATTGACATCACATTGATCAAATTTTCTGGGGAGAAGATTCCTTTATAGAACATAGAGAACTTTATAACATTCACAGAAAGGAGTATAACATAGTAGTTAACAGGATGGACTTTGGAGTTTAACAGACCTACACTCAAATTCTGCCAGTATACCTACTACTACAAATGGATATCCATATACTCAGAGATGACTATATTGCAAAAGGTTAGAATGCTAAAAAGAATATCCAGAAATGAAAAATCCCTAGAAATACAAGCAAATATGAGACATTTTCCAAAATATGAAGAGGTAAAATATGACATAAGAATAAAGGGAAAATAGTTACAGTTAGAAAAATAAAGTTACAGGTAGAGGTTAATTATATAATGCAATAATGCAGGTTAGAAAGCTTTTGTGGGACTGTCTGAGGCTAATTATCTTATATGTTACCATTCTCTTAGGGAAAATGTTCTTTTTTTTTTTTTTTATTGCTTCCAAATATCCACTTACAGATGAACTTCTAGCAACACATTTCATGTTTTTTATAAAAACCATTTAAGATGATGGTTAGTGCCAAGGTTGTAGTACTGTCAATAAAGGAAAATAACAACAGGAAGAAATGAAGAATCTGGTTTAACAATGGCCCTTCATGAGTACACCTTGACAATAGAATTAATTTTACTCAATAAAAAAATAGAAAATTGGCCCTCCCTAGTGGCGCAGCGGGTTAAAGCACTACACTAAGAAGCTTAAGCCGCTTCCGCATGAGTTCGATTCCTGTCTGCCCCGGAGGTGACCACATGGTGTGGCAGACCTCTCCTGACCCGCCCGCTGCTCCCCTCAGCAGTGTACTTCGTCAATCTGCCTGTTCTGTTCCCCACTCTGTCTCTGGTGAAGCCTCTCACCGCCCCTGCGCCTCTGGCCTGTACCCCAGTTCTGTATGCACAAATAAATATATCTTTAAAAAAAAAATAGAAAATTAATCACTAATATGCAAACTTAAAAAAATTTGATCAAATATTTTTTCTTACACCATTGTTAATTTTTGGACAATATATAATCTTATTTTCTCAGGGGTGGTCACCATAGTTCTCCCATCACCAAATCACACACAGTTCATTACCTTAGTCCCTTGTGCTTTTCCCTACCCTGTTTTCACTCCATGAAAATTTCTAAAAATCAAAAATTTGTGGGTCCTCCCTAGTGGTATAGCGGGTTAAAAGCACAGCACTAAGAAGCTAAAGCCACTTCAGCATGAGTTCAATCCCCGCCCTGGAGGAGATCCACATGGTGTGGCAGACCACTCCTGACCCGCCTGCTGCTCCCCTCAGCAGTGTATTTCATCAGTTGTTTTGTTCTGCTCCCCACTATGTCTCTGGTGGATCCTCTCACTGCCCCTGCACCTCTGGCCTGTACCCCAGTTCTCTATGCATAAATAAATAAATCTTAAAAAATAAAAAATTTGTAAAATCCAGCACTATAGAGTTTTAATTATAATGTTTATAAACTTTCTATACTGCCAAAAATATCATAAAAATGTTCACCAGGGTCAAAAATGCTCATCTTTGAATTCATACAGTGTATAATAACAAAATGCAGTTGTTATATAAACCATAGCTTATTGGTTCCTTCATGCTATAAACATATACTGACATTTCATCTGGTCAACTATCTTAAAGGTTAATTCTTGCTTCTTGTTTCAGATTTTACTCTAGGTGAACTGTTCTGGGCAGATTCTATTTACCTATTCTAAACAAACTACAAACTGTTTCATTGCTCACTCTTACTGTTAAGAACATATTGACTTGCTGCCTGCTCTGCTGTTTAATTCATTTATGCTGAGAGTCAGGCATGAAGACAGAATTTTAAATGTGACATTTGCAGGCTGTTAGGTCATTTAAGCTCTGACAACACCAGGGAATTCCTGACATATAAACTGGACCTGATTACCAAGCACAGATGAGCTTCCCAAAGGAGTAGATTTCTGACCATTTTTTGGTAAATTCTCATAGAATTTTAATAGTAAACTTCAATGTCAATGGAAAGGTCTAGAAAGTCAGTATTTTAAAAGTAAAAGTCTACGTCTTTTAATAAGTTCAAACTGGTACCTTTAATCATATCAGATAAATAAAAATTCCTTTGATTGGTAAGACATGTAGAAAGACTCACTAATAACATTCATTAAAATTCTGAGAAATTCTTACACTTAAGGACTTTTAATGTTTCATATAAACTATGGATTATGAAAAACCTGGTATATCTAAAAACTGTAACTCCTGTCAACAGACTATTTAAAATCCTTAGATTCTGGCCTGACAGATTTTATATGCTATCAATATCACAGCACAAAATGTAAGTTTAAACACTTACCACACTGACTTCTCTTAGGTTATAGTTATGTAGAAGGGGTGATAGAGTTATTAGAATTGAAAATGAAAAAAACTGCCAACATGACATTTAGAATTATACTTTATGAGAGTTGATAATGGGGTGGGATAGGAGTAGGGAAACACTGTTTTTTCATTTCAGCTACTCCAAAAAATTACACAAGTTATATTTTCAGCTTTTTTTCTTGTCACTAACAAGTACTATGAATAATGGTTCAAATGAAAAGTTTTCGGAAATTAAATCTTGTTGTTAAGTAATGCAGAAAAGAAAATTCTGGTTTTACCCAGTATTTTATGTAAGTAAGAATTCTACTGTTACACAGCAAGTAGCCTTTTAATATTGTGCTTTGAATGAGACTTCCAGCTGTAATAGGTGGAGTCTAAATAGGGCTAGATGGCCTGGAATGCCTTTCAGCTATAGCACATTGATTCTGAAAAAGCTAACAAAAGCAATTACTTTTCAGAGATTAAAAATCTTGTTTCTTTCAAAAGAATTAAATAGAAAGCAAACCTGGTGTATTATCTGAGCTACAGGAAGTTGTTCAGCATATTTCAGAGGTTCTATTAGTTCCTCATCCATCTGGTCTTCTTTATATCTGGAAATAAAAGTTAAAAATACAAAGTTAAGACTACCTTTAAATATGGTAAATATTTAAATAAGCCAAATGTGAAATATATTAAAATGTATATTTAAGTTTTGAAAATAATCTATGCAGTAACTATCTATGAAAAGCCACCTAATGGTAATTTTTAGCTAACATAATCAGACTGCATTGACTCACTATGAAATGAATTACTATGAAACTAGATTCATTAACATAATCTATTATTCCTGGAGCCTGTCTTTTACAGTAAGACTTAAAATGTTTTAAACAACCATTTATTAGGGTATGCTTTTTTGTCAAAGTATTTCATGGTCTTCAAAACCTAGTTCCAACTACAGTCAAGACTCATCACCAGCAAGTCCTCTCTATGCCTATCTGTTGTTTCAGCATATCCACCTACTGGCCTCCCACCAAAGGGCATGGCAACTTCGTGATTTTCTGATGTTCTCCATTCTGCTTCTGTTTGGACCAACTACCAAGCCCTTTTTTATTTTTCTTGTAAATATAATCATTTATTTAGACACACCTATTCACATCCTTCACCTTTTTGGTGACAAAAAGCACATCTTATTTCTTTGGTTAGCCTATTTTTACCATGAAATATTAAAACTCAATAAATGTTTGCTGAGTGAATATATAAACAAAATAGATACAATAATTCTGAGGTTATTTTATAAAGAAAAAACTTTAATATTTACAATATGATGCAGAGTTGATATAATATATACCAAACACAATATAGGATAAAATGTAGAGTGCAGATTAAGATTAAAAATATCAAAAATTCCCAAATGAAGAGAAACAGAAAAAATATTTTCAAAAATTGTCACTTCTCAAAATAACAAACATAAGATTTCAAAAGACAGAGTTGCACTAAGAGCAATGCACAAGTAATCATGAAATCATTATGGATGTAAGAGTTTTTACTTATAATACTTCACAATAAAATAAAATGTTTACTCATTTTTAATTTCTTGAAAACATTCATTACTTTATTGCCTTGTCTGTTTCTAGAAGGATAACGTAAAGTTGATTTTTTTCCATTTTAATTTTTAATTAAAAATGTTCTTTTCTGGCTTGGAGGTGTTTATGGGGCACCCCCCTTCCCTTTTATTTTAAGATCTATTAGTAGGATATAAGATATACCTAAAAAATCAGTTATAGATCAATTTGTCTTGATAGGCAGAGTCCTTTCAATATGGAAATTAAACCCCCCCTTTATTCCACAAAAGTTGTTTTACAATAATTTAAAAAATTATTTCTGTTCACTTTCCATTTGTTTTCCTAGTTCCAAGGTCTTGAACTAAATATATTGAATCGTCTCTACCACTTTCTCTTTGATCCTTTTATCTCTCTTATTTCAGTTTCATTTTCCTGACTCCTTTTCATTTTGATTCCTTATGTCTCTTACTGAACTTTTAGTTATATCTATCTTCCTCAGGTACCTTGTAATTTAGTTTTCATTTCTGAAATGATTCTGTCTTTTTGTCAATTTCTTACCCAACTCAGTCAGCTCCTGTTTCCTAATATTCCCGTTGTTGGTCCATTTCAATTGTGAGTTTTTGAATGTTTGACTCATGGTGTCCTTTCATAATGCAATTGCTTGTTTAATATAAGTTATTCGTATGAGTATGGTGTTTCAGGTTTTTTTTCTGCTCTCTGGTTTTCCTATTTTCCTTTCATTCTTTCTCTCTGATTTAGATACAGATAGATATAGATGTACTGGTCGATATAGACAGGTACATATGTTTAATTTATTAAGAAGTTTTTATTTCAATAGTCTGGGGTTTTTTTGTTTTTTTTGGACTGATGCCAGCTTTTGGGATTTTTCCTTTCAAGTTCAGCATAGCAAGCAATCTTGTGACAGGGGAGAAGAAGGGAGATAAGTTGTCTAATGAGGTTTTTCTGTTCAAGAATACCCTGGCTAAAATGAAGTTTAAAGTCCTTAATAAGTGGTACTTTTGTGGTGATAGTAGGGCCAGAATTTGTCTCTCTTTTCTTTTAGGTAATACTGATCCAATTGGATCCCCTTATCTTCCACTCCTTTCTTTCCCTTTACCATCAATGAGCCTGGGACACACCCAATCCTCAGCAATTCTCTCAAAATTATTGCTTACCCAAGTTTGTCATCTAAGGTCATCCACAGTTCCTAAGTCTCCTCTTTCAAACACTCCGTAGCCAGAGATCCAATCAAGTAGTCCATGTATACAACATATCTCTTTCTAAGATTTTCCACTAAGATTTACTTAAATAAAAACGTCGCAATTTCTGCATGGGAAAATCATATTTCTTTTTTTTATTTTAACAGTTTTTACCAACTTTGCATTATGTAAGAAATAAAGTTTGTTTAGTCTATGAAACAATGTTGGATCCAATATGGTGATGCTACCATTTCCAATCCATCACAATGAAAATATTATCCAAATTTTATGCATAAGTAACAAAGATACTGCTGTTAAGCTTCTAAAATATATGAAGGTATTCTTTAAAAATCCTTATCTAATGTCCTTAATAATCTTTCTCCTCTCTACTATCTAAGAACTCCTGAAATAACATCGTAAAATTACTTACTATGTCCATCATTGACTTAAACTGATTCCCACCATCTCTGATTCAGAAAGAGGTGAAATTTTATTCTATATGCCATAATTATTAGATTACATTACTTTTGTGTAAAATGGCGTAACTTCATGTAGGTAAAAGGTCAAGTATCTTTTCAAACACTAGAAATAGACCCAACCAGGAAAACAGAAAAATACCAATGGAAACTAAGAATTAAGATTAACAATTTGAAATACATCATCTAGAATAATCCAAATGATTGAAATTTTCTAAATATCAAAAATAGACCATTAGGCAAAGCTAAACTAGAGTAATTTCTTGAACATAATGAACTACTTAAAACTAAAAGTACATACTAAGAAATCAAGATAATTATGTTACAATCTTGTTGGAACAAAAGGACAGAAAAACTTCCGCTCCTAAACTACACTGTTAAAAATGCCCAAGCATTTATGTACCTGACAAAAAAATATTGTTTTGCAAGATGAATTTGACAAACCAGGCATTCTATGACATACCACCACATTTAGAAACGCCAAGGGAGAAAAGCACTCAAATTTCTGGCCAATGGAGACAGATACAAGATGTTATTTAACTCCATAATGTTCCAAGAGTTACTAAGAATATTTTTGTGAAGACAATAATGAGACAACCTAAGGCATCATGATCGTCCTTGAAATGAGATGCACCACCTTTAAGCCCTCAGCATCATCATTCTTCTAATTATCAAATGAAAAATTTTTGAAGCAAGATATTAAAACATAATTTAGAAATTATCTACTTTGAAGAAGCACAAGGATGATGGTGAATCAGGGAAAAGAGAGGCAGAGAACCTAAAGTTAACTCCCAAGAGAACTAAGGTCACATTAACTTATGACCCAACAGTGGAAATGCAATTATTTAGTGCCAGAAGTTAGGTCACTTACTTCTCCCCTAAAGTATTTCTTCAGTACCAGTCCAAGTGATTTTTGTGTCCTCAGACTGAAATTGTCTCATGTGAAACAGTACATTTTGGGGTTTTATTTTTAAACTTAGTATGACCACCTTGCTTTTCAAACAATGTATTCAGTCCAATTATATTTAATGTAAAAAGTGATATGCCTACTCTATGTTAAACTTCCCATCTATTTGATGTCCCTTCCCCTGTCCTATAATTCTCTTGAATTAACCAACTATCTTAATAATCCTATTATCCTCTAGCAATATGATAGTCACATATACATTTACCACTAGATAGTGGCTACCTTGGATATTTTAACTTAATAAACTGGTTATACCATTTATCCAATAACAAAATTAATTATTCCAATTAACTTTAATTCAATTTATTCATCTGCCTGCCTTTTGTATTATGTCATATATTTTATTTCTACCAATATTTTTAAGTCAACAAGAGATTGTTTTTATTTATTTATTCTCATCAATGTTCCATTATCCTAAATGATGTATTTATCTGTTCTGGCTCTCGAGATTCCTTACTGAATTTTTTTTGTTTTCCGTTAGGATCATTTATTTCTGGCTGAAGAACTCCATTTAGTTTTTATTTCAGCTCAGGTATACTGGCAACAAATTCACTATTTAGTTTGTCTGAAAACATCTGTATTTTACCTTCATTTTTGGAAGATACTTTTGTAGCGTATAGAATTATAGGTTAGAAGTTTTCTTCTTTTCAGCACTTTAAACATGTCATTCTGCTATTTTATGGCTTCCATTGTTTATGTCAGCATTAAAAGTAATGTGCCTTTTCTTCTCTGGTGGGCTTTTAAAACTCTTCTCTGCCTATGATTTTTCAGCATTTTGACTATGATGTACCAAACTGTGGTTTCCTTTGAATTCTTCCTACTTAAGATTAGCAAAGTTGACTGAATTTACAGTTTTAGAGTGTGACGTGTTTCATTTCTTTGGAAAACATTTTTTCTCATTATCTTTTTAAATATTTTTAATCTGTCCTCTAGTTTACATACATACACACGTATACATATATTTTTATCCCACTTTACTAAATTTAGTATGCCTTTAACTAGTGTTTCTTTCTTCCATTCTTTACTTTGGTGCCTCAGTAAATTTATGCTGACATAAACAATGGAAGCCATAAAATAGCAGAATGACATGTTTAAAGTGCTGAAAAGAAGAAAACTTCTAACCTACTGAATCCCTATCAAAATCCCAATGGCATTCTTCACAGAAATACAGCAAAAATCATGAAGCTTATTTGAAACAAGGAATGTCCCTAATAGTAAAAACTCTGCTAAGGGAAAAAGAATAAGTATGGGGGCAGGAAGCATCAAGCTTCTTGACTTCAAATGACACTTTAAAGCGACAGTCATTAAAACAGACTGGTATTAGAATAAAAACAGGCCTACAGAACAATAGAACAGAACTGAGTGAGACCTGTGGAGGAAAACACACACACACACACACACACACAC